TATCTAAAAGATTATAATTCCATTGTGATTTGGAATTTTTAAGATGACGGCTTATTGAGGCAACAGCATTTTTCAAGGAAGCTCTTGAGTATTTTTCGCCTTTTATTGTTCTCACACCATATATAAATTCACACATCTCATTTTCTATTTGTTCATTAGAGAAAAGTGATTCTAAGGTGTAGGAATAGTTCACATTTTTGTGCCAAGTATTTAAAATATTGACCCATTTTTCAATGCATTTAACTGTATTTAATAGTACACGGCTTTGTTGAACCTTTGAAAGTTCCTCAGCTGTAGGTTTGAAATAAGTCTAAAAATTTATTAGTTATTAAAATTAATATAATTTATAGCTTTAATATGTAAATTACTTACAATTTCCATTAACGGAATTTAGTTTGCGAAAGTAAATTATTCGTAAAATTTGTAAAAAAAGAAAAATATCGTGAGAAAAAATTGATTGTGGGAAAAAATTATTATTTATTTATAAAAAAAAAGTTTAAAAAAGTTAAAAAAATAGCTTAATCACGGGAAACCGGATAAATCACTTATCAGGACCTTCGAGCCGAATAACTACCGCTACCTACAAGGTAGCTAATAATATTGGGAATCAAATTTGATTTTCCCAATATAATAGTTATTCGGCACTTCGTGCCGAATAACTATTATATATATTCCAATACTATATTATTAGGCGAATCTATTGAGATAGATGCATATATAGGAAAACTTTTTTTTATCTTTTTTTTTATTTTTAGCTTCATATTTTGGATGGCTTACTTCGTAATTAAGCACGGTATATATATATATATTATTATAGATTTAAATATTTTTCGTTTGATAACCTTGTAAAGTAGAAATCAATAATTTTTCGCTTTTTTTTTTTAGGCATTTGGATCACCTCATGAAATATTAAAATGCATTTTGATTTTATAATTTAATTTACCTTGTTCAAATCTAATATCAAAAGAAATTATAAATAATACAATATACGACAATGTATCTTTGAATTACCGCACTATTTTTTCTGAATAATGATCTTTAACAACGTTATCATAACTCGAGAATTGGATCGCGCAATTAAATATTTGCTTAATCACGATTAATTATTTTAGAACATTCTAAAAAAATACGTATTTTATAAAACAAATCTAAGTAAAACGATTAAAAAATATAAAGTTTTACATAATCATCATGCATTTCTGAAAACGTAGTCTAAATAATGTTAAATGCAACAAAGCTATACTTTATAATTAATTGTTAACAATACTAATAACAGGTAAAGATTATCTGTAACCTCAATGTAGAAAATCGTCATCTCCGTAATATATGTTAAAGATAATTTATGTTATAAGGGATTTCCTTAACCAAAAATTATGATGATGAAATTAACCAATATGAATAAAAAATTTCTCATGAGCAAATATAAATAACACCCAAAAGTCAAAATATTCAATTATTGACGTCTATAATTATATATAAAATCGGTATTAGTAAATATTTTAATATATCAATATTTCATTAAAATTACCTTTTAGTTGTAATGACCTAGAAATTTCTAATTCATGTAATTGAGAATCTTGAAAGATTAAAATGCATTAAATATTATATATTTTATTATCGAAAATAATTTAGAAATTACCTTCATTATTTTCATTCTTTTCAAGATATGAAGTAAAAAGAGACGAATTGATAGGTTTTGTCAGATTTTTAAACGAAAATGCTCTACTTGTATATATAGCGTCAGGATTTGATTTACGTGAAATTATAATATTTGGTATGTCTTTATCAGCTTCTTCAAATGCTTCTTTTATTCTTTTTCCATAATATCCAAATCTTACAGTATCTTTAAATTCCTCAAACTTAATAATAGATTTAAACCAAAAATACAATATATCATGCAATTCGTCGCTTGTTGGTCTTTGATTTGGATTTGCATTCATACACCTATAAGCCAATACTTTATAAAATTCAGGAGTTCCTTTTCCAAAATCTGGACGAAGACCATTACAAATATCTAATGCTAAAGATATATCATGTTTTCGATCATAAAAGGGGAGGATTCCAGTTGATAATTCAGCCATAATTACACCAAAACTGTATATGTCAGAGGCAAATGTATATAATTCTCCATTCAAGACTTCTGGAGCGATATATGGTAATACTCCATATATTTTGTCATTCGAATTTTGCTTATCTGCTGGTCCTGTAAATCCAAAATCTGAAACGTAAGAAGTTTGATGTTCATTTTGCAATATATTTCCACTATGAAAATCCTTATGACAATATCCTAATTTTTGTAAATTATTAAGGTCCCAAGAAATATCACATAATTTTTTAATTTTTTCGCTCCATAAAATATTGTTAAATTTATTTGAAAGACGACTTCTCAAATTTCCACCAGGTAAAAATTGCACGATCATAATAAATTCTTTGGTTTCTGGATCCTTAGTTATTCCATAAAACTTTAATGTATTATAATTGAAATTGGTATTAAAAAAATCCCAATGTGCTTTAAGCTAATTATTTCAATAAAAATTTAAGCAAATTAGAAATATTCTATTTAATAAATATCAAATGTAAAATGTAAATACCTCATTTAAATAATTGGCTGACATATCCCATGATCCATTTAACCTTTTCAAAGCAACCTTTTTAGGTTCAGGATCTAATTTTTTCCAACTTCCATCTTCTTGCCTTCCAAATAAAGATTCACCATCGATCCATGTTGCAGAATACACTTTGGCGAATCCTCCTTCACCAATTTCTTTTATATCTGTGAATCTATCAAGAGACACCCATTTAAGAAATCTTGGATATTCTTCATGTCTTGCATTATACATAGTATCTTTGATGAATTTATCAATATCAGAATTTCCACTAGTCCATCCTTCAATTATACACCCAGGGTCACATTCTTTACACCATAATTTCTCTGTAAATGGTTTATCACAATAAGAACATTTATTATTTTCCGAGACATTTAATTTGTTGAATTCAGATTCAATTAGGACGCTAACTTCATTTTCAACGTCCATGATTTTTTTTTTAAAAAAAAAAGAAAAAATTTCAATAGAGATATAAAAGGAATTATCATAACCAAATTTAGATGAAACGGAAAATATTCTCCGAACACAAATCAAATGATCGGATACTGCGGAAATTATTAATTTTGGCCAGTGTCTATCACTTTTTTATAACCTTAGCTCAAAATTACCTTCCTTTAATAACTTATATTGTCAATTTGATCAAATATTTAAATTAAATACTTGTTAGTTTAGTTATTACTGATACCAATAATGATGACATATTTAACATCTCAGGCTTACAAAGATATTAAAAGCACTCTACTGTCAATCTTTCATAAATTGTTAACAAATTATTTTGCTACCTTGAATGTTCGCATTCTCCGGTAAAAATTTTACCAACTTCTTGAAAGATTCCGCTGTCGATAATTAGCCTACCAATTTTTATCCTACGTATCTTACTTACCAACGTATCCTTAACAGAGTTTTCAATCATTACCTTATTATTGGAGACATTTAGTCACTTTATAAAAAAGTAATTTTTTTTTTGACCATTCCTTTGTAACGAGGTAGAAATTGGAACCGAACCGTCTCCTAACTTTTCACCCGTGTGACTGCATCATTATGTATATCGGGTACCACCAGGGTTATTTAGGGTCAAATTATATAAGATTAAAGACTATTAACTTTCGTTATTACATGTGAATGCTCTTTCAAGAGAAATTTCTGGAGCATCAACAGCAGCATCGACAGCTCTATTAATTAAACGAATATGTAATAGAATTTGTGTCAAAGGAATGGCTCACATACATAAAGCTAATTTTAGAGGTAAGTGGGATAAAGAATTGAAAATTAATAAAAAAAAATTCAACGGGAGTTACGTATAATTTTTTCCCATGGTTTTCTTTCAATATTTAAATATTTTAACAAATTCATTGGATAAAACTTTTTCGCGAATAATGTGCAAATCGGAAAATTAAATTCTTTTTAAAATGTAAATCATTTAACGGCTTGACTTAATTTGACAGTTATTGTATGTTACTTTCATCAAATATCCTGAAAAAAGTTTTTTTTTTAAAATAAATATATATATATTAAGACAATTAACCAGGTTGAACTCAAGTTAAGAATCGAGTAATTAGAGTAATTTAATCGGATATCAGTGTTGTCAATACTGAAACTGATATAATGCGGGTGACCAAAAGCCGGTACTACAGAGTTTCCAATATGATGTCATTCTAAATAATAATTTTTACTGGTTATTATTGTTGAAACAGCCAATTGTTAAAAGGTTTAAAATGCAGTAATTAATGACGAAACCTATTTTAACGCGTTGCTTAAAAATTTAGAAACTTTTTTCGAAATCTTAAAATTACTTTTTTTTTTAAATCAGAAACTTAATTAAACTTAATTGATTTTAGGTAAAGAAATTTATTATAAACAAATAGTTTAAGTTCAAATATCTCGAATCTCAAATTTCCTGAAAATAGTTTAGTGAGGCATCATTAGCAGTAATGTAGTAATTCTGAACCATTTGTAGATTTCTATAAAATTATAAAATTATAAATTATAATCTTATCAAAGGTTTTGCCTTAGAAAAATTTACAACATTTAGAGGAAAATATATAAGTTAATTATTAAGCTCATTATCTACATATTTAATATATTGCACATACAGATCTAATATATTGAAATAATGCATGAAAAGTTAATATTGAGCGTCTTTGTCAAATAAAACATAATAATTTAATGATTTAACAATGATCAAATGTTGGTTAACCTTGCGATAATTATTCATGCTTTCATCTTCTTCATCCTTCCTAATTATACCTTTATTATTGTTAATAATCATCTTTTTAATTTGTTCTCCACTATGAGTATCGTAATTTATAAGTGTGACTTCTATATACATTAAATATATCACTTTTGGCATTCGTGCTATACCTCAAAATATTTGTTCATGTGTCAGCAGAATCTAAAACCACAATAATTTTCTTTTCAAAATGTTAGCAACGTTTTAACTTTTTTTGATGGTTATAAATATTATTACATGATCACCAAATTTAATACGTTGTTTTGTAGCATTCACATTTCAGAGAATTAAATAAAATAGAATTTATCTTTCACTGACTGTTCGAAAAATCCGTAGCTAGTAATGGAGAACGGTTCAAAAAGATCGATTCAAAGTCAGACTTGAACTGATTCTAAATTCATCGGGTTCCGAGTTTAGAACCATTTTTACCAATTTTAGGAACACTAGGATCGGTATTAAATTAATAAATAATTATTGATTAGAATTGACCAATCAAAAAATTTTTAATTGATCATAACATGCTCTATTTGTAAATTATTTAAGCTAACCCCTAGTTTTAATTTACTTTAGGAGAGCCGAAGAGGAACCGTAAATCGTCTCCAACACTATTCATAGCTCCTGAATTATAGGATTTGAAATTTGACTATTTCTTATTGCGTTTACCAATATCGTATTTTCCATTTTTTTAAAATTCCATTTTTTTTTTGTTGTAAAATCATTATCTAGATAAGTAAGAGCGATATCCCTTGGTGAATTCATTTAATTATTTAATATTTTCATCTATTTGTAATATTGATGATAATTATCAAAACTTTAATATTCAAATCTATAATAAATCTTCAAAATCGAATCGTTAAAATAAAATTGTATAATAAAAATCTGCCAAAAGTTTGAAATCAAAACATATTATTTTGAATGTTGGCATTTGCCAAAATATGTTTAACCTTGCAATATAGCAACCTGCATATTAATTGGTGTGTCCAAAGAGAGTTGAACGGTCTTCAAGGCCTATACTACCTTAAAAGTTACATATATAGTTGAACTATTACGGTGTTAGATTTGGTATTGATATGAAATTCAGGACATAGATCTTATCTTTTAAATGGTGGTTAAAAAGTTATAAGGTCAAAATCTGAAATAAAGATATAATTTTAAGTAAAAATGATTTTCTACAAATGATAAAATGATAACGTTCAAAATATGAATAAATAGTTCGCAGGACAATTTTTATAACCAATGCCATGCTAAATACCACCTAAGTGTTTTGATCAAATTTTGTAAACACCACATACTTAATATACATAATGAACAAGCCAGATTTGCCAGATTGGTGCTCAGGTTAATTTAGCAAAGACGCATTTTCAAATTTAGTTATATTTCTAGTCTTAAATTCTAATTTTCCATTACGTAAATTGAAAATGGGTGGGCAAACTTCAGCAATAGCGAATATAATAAACAATATTAAAAATTGGGTTCCAAAAAACCCTCCAATCATTTTTTAATTTTAATAACAAATTTCATAGTATAAAATCAGTTAACAATATTAGGGGGAATTTTAATATTAAAAATTATTTACTATAAAACAAAGTGTGATCTAGCAATTTTGATAATCAATTTACTAGATTATAATATTTTTCTTGATTTATTGTGTTACATAAAGTTGATTTACAAAACCAGATATTGTTGCACATGAAAACTTTTTTTTTATTTTTAAAAAATTTAACTTTCCATCTAGGTCTTATATGCAATGTTTGGTAATAAAGATGAAGGTAAAAGTATAATATTTATTACATGCTGAAAATGTATTTCTTTTATAATAATAAAAAATGCTTTTACAATCAGGGTCATCCTTGGACGCTCCAACATTAAATGAATTAAACGGTAAGAAAATTAAATAAAGTTTATATTCATTCTTTTATAATTAATTTTTTAATTTATAAAAAATTTAATGATCGATAGATTGTAAGTTACTTGATATTCACTATTTTTGAATGTCATTTGTAAATTATATTAATTTTTATTAAATTTATTTACGGATGTTACTTTAGGGCGTAAGCTATTTTTATTGATTACCTATACTTTTAATAAATTTAAATTTGGCTAAATTTATTAATAAATAAAATTAATTCTATAGTTAGTAGGTTAATTTTATTGGTTAATACTTACTAACGTTACCGGTCAATTTATTACTGTATTAATTTAAAATTTTGATCGATCATACTATTAGATGGTAATGTATTTTATTGACTGATTAAACTTTATTATAAATCAAATTTAACTAACTTTCTTTTAATAATTTGATATTATCGTTATAGAAAGTAAATTGATTTTATGATTATCTATATTTAATTAACGTTATCGTTATGTTTTTTATTATGATTTAACTCAAATTATTGTAAAATATATTTTTAATGATAGATCGTAAGTTGATCCATATTATTTAGATTGTTTTTTGTAATTAAGTTCAAGTAAATTAATTTAAAAATGTAACAATATAATTTAGAAGGTGTTTTTTTTTTTTATTGATTATTCATATTTAATAATACTGTTATCGAATTTAAATGCAACTAAATTGTATTTAAATATTTTAATTATTTAGATGGTAAGTTTTATTTATTTATTGCGTTTTTTTTTTTTGTATTTATTTTTAACCAAATTTTATTTTAAAATTCAAATCGAATATTTAAATTTAGATTGTAAGTTGGTTTTTAATTTAAATTAATTTGTTTAATTTAAAATTAACTAAGTTTATATTTTAAAACTATAGTTGATAATATAAATAGTAAGTTATTTTAATTATTGTATTTATTTAATATAATTTAAACTTAACTAATTTTTTTTTTTGATAATTAGATAGTAAGTTATTTGTATTTATTAATTCATTTGGCTAGAATATAATCAACTAAATTTTTATTTAAAAAAAAACTTAACTTAGTTTGTAAGTTAATCTTATTAATTTTAATTATTTTATTTTTATTATTTTATTTAAAAAAAAATTCAATTAAATTTACTTAAATAATTATAGATCGTAAGTTTAATTATATAAAAATTCTTAATATTTTTATTATAATTTTAAGTTAACAAAAAATTTTGGATTTCCCCCTTTTCTACTGACCACCTCCCATATATTAATAATAATAGAAGGTATATAATTTTTATTAATTTCATTTTATTTAATCTTATTATTTATAATTTGTTATAATTTTATTCAAAAAATAAGGTAATTAATTAAGTAATTATATGTTTATTAATTAATTAAATTATTTAATTAATTTAATTAAAAATATTTAAAGATGATGATGGAATTAATTTAAAAAGTAAATTAATATTTATTTATTATTAAAGTAAAATACATATTATAATTGTTAATTAATTATGCTAATTCACTTTTATAATACCATTAGATTGTAAATTATTTATATATTATTAATTAATAATAAATAAACTAAATATTTTACTAAAAATGATTTAATAATTTAGATGGTTCGTTATTTTAAGAAATTATTATTGTTTTAAGATATAAATTTATAATAAAAAAATATTTTATATGATTTATATTTTACTTTTAGTAAGTGTTATTTTTTATATTAAATTGTTAAAAAAAATATAAATAGTAATACTATTATAATTATAATATAGAAATAGGAAATTGTTTAAATTGTAACAAATTAAATACCGGACTTAAATGGTGTAAAAAATGTAATTCTAAAATTTTTCAACAAAATTTTTCTAATTGGACTAGTAAAAATAAATTTATTGATAAATTTATTCAAGAAACACAATTAAATGCAAAAAATAAAAATCAAGTATTAGAATGGATTTCTTATGAAAAATTTGAAAATATTGAATATCTTGATAAAGGAGGATTTAGTATTATATATAAAGCTATTTGGTTAGACGGATATATTAACTCATATTTATATAATAATAAAAATTGGATTAGAAATGGTAAAATCAATATAATTCTTAAATGTCTTAATAATTCATTTAATTTAAATGAGGAATTCTTAAATGAGGTATGAAATTATTTGTTATTTAATTTTTAAATAATAAATTTTAACTTAATATTTGTTATTTAGTGGAAGCATCAATATAATTGTTATCAATTAAATCAAAATTCAAATAAAAATATTATTCATTTATATGGATTTACACAAGATTTTAATACTTTAAATTATATAGTAATAATGACTTATGCAAAATATGGGAATTTAAGAAATAATTTATCAAATATTATTAAATCAAAATGGATAACAAAATTATTAATATTATATAATATTATTAAATCACTAAATGAAATACATAAAAAAAAACTTATTCATTGTGATTTACATCATGGTAATATTTTATGTATTTCACAAAATATATTTTCTATTAGTGATTTAGGATTATGTAAGCCTGTAAAATATTTTAAATCATCTAAAAATTTTAAAAATAATAATATTTATGGTGTTTTACCATTTATAGCACCTGAAGTTTTAAGAGGTCAACCTTATACTTTATCTAGTGATATATTTAGCTTTTCAATGATTATGTGGGAATTTATATCTGGAATTCTTCCATTTAATAATGAAGCTTATAATTTTCAATTGAGTTTAGATATTAATAAAGGTAAACGTCCAGAAATTATTGAAGATACTCCACAATGTTATATAAATTTAATGAAAAGATGTTGGGATATGAATTCATTAAAAAGACCGACTGCATTAGAAATTTGTAATATTATTAAAAATTGGTATAAAAATATTATTACTAAAAAATTCGATAAAAAATTAAAAAATAATATTATAGAATTTTATAAAGCAGATAAAATATTAGAGCAAAAACAAAGTATTAGTTTATCTGTATCTGGAATTATTTATAATGAACTTATTACTAAATCCAATTCAGAATTAAGTATTAGATCTCATACACCAATATATAATTCTAGTCATTTACTACATTATACTGAATACTTAAATGAAATATTAAATCAGAAAATATCAAAAACAGAAACTAGTAGTATAGGTAATTATTTTAATCATAATATTTATTTATTAATTACTAAAACTGAAATATAATTATTAGTTTAATAATTATTATATATTATTTTTAATTTGATAGAAGATTTAAATCTTACTGAAAATGATTTAAGTAAGTAATTATTTTAATTATTATAAATAGTAAATTAAAAATTCTACTTATGTATATATAATCTAACTTATTTTGTATATATGAAATATTTAATTAAGAAAATTTAAATAAAACTTCAAATCAAAATAAAAATTTATATCATAAGGAAAATTTACAAAATTTAAACCAAAAAAATATAATTGAAAATTTAGATCAAAATAATTTGTATGAAATTATAGATAAGAATAATTTGCTTGAAATTATAGATCAAGAAAAATATTTTCATAATTATAAAAATTTAGAATTTAATAATATACAAAAAATAGGAGGTGTATTTACAACTGTTTATTGTGCAAGGTGGAAATATAATGATAATTTTGTTATTTTAAAATCATTTAATAATTTTAATAATAGAATTATTGAAGAAATTAAAAATGAGGTATATTATTTTATGAATTTCAATGAAATAAAAGTTTAATTAATAATTCTTATATAAAATTATATAGTTAAAATTACAACAACGAATTAAATATCATCCAAATATTATACAATTTTATGGGATTACAAGTATAAATATTGGTAAGAAATACAATATTTATTTAATTTATTATTTAATTTTTAATAATATATATACTGTCTTTACATAGATAAAATAAGTAAATATGCTTTAGTTTTGGAATACGCTGATAGTGGCACATTAAACTCTTATTTAAATGAACATATTAAGATACTTGATTGGAATGAAAAAGTTAAATTGGCACATCAAATTGCAAACGCTATATTGTATTTACATAAAAATAATGTTGTTCATTGTGATCTGGTAATATGTTTATTTAATAGTTTTTTTAATTGGTTATTATTTATTTATTGCTTATTTCTTTTTATATATATAACAATATTTTTATAGAATACAGAAAATATATATATACATCAAAAAAATATTAAATTAGCAAGTCTTGGTTTATCGAAAACATTTAATAAGAAATCAAAAATATCCGGACCCTATATGGATCCTAAAAGTATAAAGAATACTAATTATAGATTAAATAAAAAATCAGATGTTTATAGTTTTGGGGTTTTGATGTGGCAAATTTCAAGTGGATGTCGACCATATTATGACGAGGATGAAGACAATATTATAAAAGAAAGAAGAGATGAAATTATTCCTGATACACCTATCGAATATAGTAATTTATATACTAGTAAGTAATATCAAAAATAATAAAGTTAATTTTTTTTTAAAACACTAACTTATTTTTTTAGAATGTCGGGAATATGAACCAAGCGAACGTCCAAATATGCAAGAAATTGTTTTATCTCTTGATCAATTTATTCTTGATCAATTACAATCGTCAGAAATAAATATAGAATTTGATAATCTTCAAAAAGATAATGCGATCATATGGTTAGAAAATGCCTTAAATAATGGAAAAGTTATTTTAATACAATTTAATCAATTACATACTTTTGAGCCACTTGGTAGAGGGGGTTTCGGAAGTATTATGAAAGCAACTTGGACTAAAACAGGAGAATGTATTGTTTATAAAAGATTGACTAATACAGCATCTATTAAGGGTAGCATTTTAAATGCCTTTATTCATGAATTACAAATCCATTTGGATCTTGGATATAGTGATCGCATTATACGTTGCTTAGGAATTAGTCAAGGTAATTAATAGTTTATTTTAAATATAATAGATTAATAGATTTAAAATTTTCTTTATTAAATTTATTACAAAATATCAAATTCTTATAGATCCTAGTTCAAAAGAATATCTTCTTATAATGCAATATGCAAATAATGGTGATCTTCAAAATTATCTTGAAAAGAATTTTAAAAAGTTAACTTGGAAAGATAAGAAAAAGTTAGCATTTCAAATCGCTAATATTATATTATTTACACAATGAAAATATTCTGCATAGAGATCTTGTAAGAACTTGTCTTTATTTATTTATTTAATAATTATGATTAAAATACTTTATTTATTTAAAATATCTACTTTAATTTAGCATTCTAAGAACATAGTTATTCATGATGGTGATGCCAAAATCACGGATTTCGGCATTTCAAAAAATATGAATACACAAAATTCTACTATTCATTATGAAACTTTTGGTAGGATTCCATACGTAGATCCCGAAAAACTAAAAGATTTAAATTTTCAATATGAAAAGGCTTCAGATATTTACAGTTATGGTGTATTGATGTGGGAAATATCTAGCGGGTTTTCACCATTTAAAAATTTAACTAGTCAAAATGATCAAGCCTTACTTCGTATTAGAATTAGTGGTGGACATCGTGAAGATGATATTGAAGGTACTCCTAAAGTTTATGAGGAACTTTATAAAAAATGTTGGGATTCAACGCCTAGGAAAAGGCCAAATATTAAAAAAGTATTGGAAGAATTTGAAAAAATAATTATTGAAGAGGATAAGCCAACTATCATAGAAGTATTAAAGGAATCAAATAATTCGGGTCTAAGATACTCAAAACCTGAGGAAACAATTGAAAGTATGTATTTTTTAATTTATTAATATATTGTCGATTGATTTAAATTTATTCTATTTTAATATACTATTATTATTCATAAAAGTAAACTTTCTTGAACTAAATCAAGATGAAGTAGAAATGAGTGAATCGGATAATGAACCTGAAAATGATTTGCCATTAGATGATTTATAACCTAATGAATACGATGATGATGAAGAAATACACTAATGAATTTAAATCGTGTTATTTATATTATAGATTTGTAATAAGTTTATTCAAATATTACGCTATAGTCAGATATTATTATTAGGCTACATTTATTTTTATTTTTATTTTATATTTGTTCTCTTTTACTCAATTAATTTCTAGAGAATTTCTTGAGTTATTATGGGTATTGTGTATTGTGGTGAATATTTTTATGAAATAAAGTGGGACATAAAACTATTAATTTTCAATACGCACGTGTAATTCAATTTATTTTTAAAAAACAAACAATTTCATGTGTTTTCTAGGTTACTTTTTTACAATTTGTATTTCGCTTACACAAATGAATATTGAAGAATGAATTATTAAATGAATATTTATTTGTGTTTATCGTTTAAATATTTCTCATTCATTATTATATTTCTACTAATTTATTCTTTAAAATTTCCATAATTTAGGTATAAATTATTCCATATTTGAAAGGTTATGAAGATTTATTGGTCAGTCTAGGATCATGCTGATATTTTTTATTAAGGACTAAATTTCAAATATTTTTGCAATTATAGTATATGCTATAAATATTTCTAGATTTTAAAGGTAGCATTATATGTATATAAAGTTTAAATTATTAACAAATGAGTAAACAAAGAAATTAAGGATATAAAAGATTCCTGAGGAAAAATGCGATTTTGTAACGTAAATTTCTTGATAATGAATAACACTTCCTTATCCAATGTACGTTTAAAGCATATTGTAATTAAGAAATATCACCGAAATTAATTTATAATTTACACGAACATCTCGATAAAGCATTAACGTAAATAATCGGTATTTTAAATTTCCTTTACAGAATCAATTCGCCCAGATGATTCTTTTTTATCTTATTTAATAAAGTATAAATTTTCTTATTAGGTTAAAAGTACTTTAATGACACTCTTAAACTTTATAAATTTACCATTTTTATTGTGATTAAAATGAAACGTGATTAAAAGTTAAGTCGTATATTGATATAATTAAATCATGATTCTCGTCATATGATTTACAGAAAAATTTGATTTTGTCAATATTCTTGAATATATTAATCACTGCTTGTGTTACCGTACGCTGTACGCTGGATGTTTTTACAACCATCATAAAATATTATATACTTTCATGCCAAAAAAAAAAAGATTATATAAAAAATCGAAATCGAAATTGTTAAACGATTATCATTTTAATTTCGGGTCGTGAATTGTGCAACAACGATCAAATATTGATTTGGAAAGAATGTAACTATATCAGTCTTTGCCATAAAAAAAACTTTATCCCTTAATTGGTGATTGATGGCTGATCTATCTAGTCAGCTGTTTGGCTTTTGTTACCTTATGAGGAAATTATCAATCTCATTTTTCTTATAAATTATATATATAATTCCTCAGCCCAGTTGCTTGAATTATCAAACAAAATGAACTCGCCACGAAGTACCCAGAAAATAACTGATAAAGTTGAACCAAAAAATGAATTCCTTAAACACGGTGATATTAAATCTTATTTTAAACCCTGGACCGATAAATACAAATTACGTGCCTTCTCGTTAGACCACGCGAAACGTTCGGAATCAAATCCAACTACTGTAATCTGGGAACCTGCCACTTCACATGGATTGGCTTCAGCGATCATTCATGCTTACACCCTTCACCAACATCTTCGATTCTCACCAGATGACGTGTGGTTAACAATCGCACAAGGTGTCAGTAATCACATTTGGAATAATGCTGAAAGTTTTCGTTACTTGTTCGTCGATCATGAAGGTCAGGAAGAAGTCTTTATAGATGCTCAAGACATTATAGGATATATCAACGGTAATTTTTTCGGTGATTGGCCGAAAGCGATAGCTAGACTTTCTGATTCTACTGATCAACGAGTTAAAAAAGTTGGTTTAAAACAACTTCTCGAATGTGATTTCTCTACTTCAACAAGTGTATCCATCACCGCTAGTCAAATTATATTATTGGATTCGATGAAAAAATATTTCAGGTATAGTATGCGTGGTGGTTGTGGTATTCCAAAGGTTACACTTGATGGCACCTTGGAAGATTGGTTACACCTTCAAGAAAAGGTCGCAAAACTTCGTGGGTTAGTATTGAACCTTGATTTTTGGTTGGACAGACTGGAACCGGTGGTGGCTCAATTCATTTCCACTTATAAAGGAAACGTTGATGATGACTTTTGGAGCATGATTATTTACCAGGTTCCTTACGGTAGTGGCACGCTGACTCCTTGCTGGAATGGATGGGTGTGCGCTTTGTTTCCGTATAATGAATCAAGATATAAACTTACCAAAAATTCTATGGTTCCTTCCTCTATACCTTCTGGATTGGTGAACGTTCCATTTAAAATGAGTATTGAAAAAGAAGATTTCAAATTGAGTTTCTCTGCGGGTTTTTTGGGTGCTAGACAAGATAAGATTAACGATGAGTATGTCGTTTCACCTGTTATTGGTTGGTATATTAGTGATGCTTAAAGATCGAAATGTGTTATTATCATAATTATTCTTATATGCAGCCTTTTTTAAAATAAAAACAACGTAAGATTTAAGATAATATTTTATGAAATGTATTTTATGCATATACCAGGGGAGGACAAAAGTATTGCACGGTTTTGATTTAGATATGTTAGTTAATTTATCATATGTAACTAAGCCATATTTTTTTGTAACATATTGATTATCGATTACATAAATGAAATATTT